TAGATAGTTTTTCATATAATTCAGTAAATTTCTTAGTAAAATATAATGGAGTGTCAAACAACTAGAATATTATACGATTATATAAACAAATTATTATTGAATTAGCTAATTTTATTTAACTATAGTATCTGTTATTATAATTCAAATCAATTTTATAATTTCAGTACAACTAGAAGCTTAAGTATAGATTATAAGATTAATATTTAAACGCTTCGAAAAATAAATTAATAAATTTCAAAAAGACTTAGAGGATACTTGAAGAATATTTCATTTGTTTTTTTTAATTTTATCAAAATTCTAACTTTTAAGAAACTCTTAAAACTCAATAACTTATTAAATTTAATCAAAAAGTTATTATAATTTAATTTTAATCACAAATGGAGATAAATATAATACATTTCATATGGTTACCAGATTTAAATGTGTTAAATTTAAATTGAACTAATAGATTCTAACAATAACTATTTATGGATTCAAATTCAACTTCAGCTACAATTATTATTACTTTTATAAGTTTTAAAAATTGAWTTTGTAACATTAATAAATTGTTTTGAAAATATATGAACAATGTGATTAATAATGCACATATAGTTCACTGTTAAAAGTTATAGAATTTGTGTATTTTTATCTGTAATATGAATCTACCCTTACCAAATACAATGTTCTAATAAAACTTTACCCTATATTACTRCATATGTTTTTTGTTTTTCCCAAGAGATACTATAGTCCCAATTCCAAAGATATTATGTATGATATCAATGGGTTAAACATAACACCAACTTTTTAGCCTTTGAACTCTTTTAAACTAATTATTATAAATGTGTCATATTCAATAACACAAAAGAATTTTAATGAAAACAAATTTATTTTTAAATATATCTGTTATATTATATAATATTATTAATTTTAATTTTAATACATGTTATTCAGTTTACGCGTTGTTTCAGACATTACCTTCATTTTTAATGTAGTTAAAATATGAGTTTTCTTTGAAACTTTTATGATATGAAATATAAAATTTACTATTTGATGTTTGAAATATTACTGTTTGACGACTGCAGTTTCGTACAAATGTATAATATAAGAGCAAGCGAGTTTCGTAATAATACTATTTAATTTTTAGGTGTATACTGTTTGTTTCCTAAACTAAGTGGGTGGATTCCCTCAATTATATTTTTTTTTTCACTTGGTAACTATTCATTAGCACCCAGCTAACCTAAAGATTGAACGATCGAAAGGAAAAGAGTTTAAAACAAACGAAATGATTACCAAATTATAGAATACAATTTGGCATTTAAAACTTTAATGAATTAAAAACCATCCATCCATGTTTATATATGTTATATTATATAGTATATACAATAAATTTATAAAATCAAACAATAGAAAGACTTTTTTGTACATTATAAATCATGAAACTATTTTGAGCACTTAAAGACAAAGTTTACTTTGTTGTTTATGTACGTGTGGTAAATCGTAGATGTCGTTTACAGTGTGTGCTTACCTTGACGGGCGGCCTATTCAGCATTTGACATGACAAAAAAGGCTGTGCTAATCGAATCGTTCCCCTAAAAGGGCCTAACATTAAAAAGGGTATAATAAATACCGGACCTTATGTAGCCCAACTCTTGAAAATCAATCAAATGCACTCAGAGGGTAGGGCTGCAAATATTTCTCTTTCATCTCGTATGATATAAAAAAAATTTAACTTTCAACATGTAGGTAAAGTTTCATAAAACAGTTCTAAAACCATTCAATGTTGTAACATCTATAAAATAGACCAATGCGTTTATACAACTTATTAGAAAATTAATAACTGAACTAAGACCGAGCTAAGTATAAGAAATAAATAATCTTTTGCTATTCCCAATGTTTCATTCCAATTTAAATTTTAAATTAAAAAGATTTCAGCAAATTAAATAATATAAATGTATAGATTTTAAATGGTGAAATAATAAATTTAAAAAAACGGTTCAGCATCAAAAAGATCAACTCAAAAATTTAATAATATTTTGATTTTATAATTATTAAACCAATGATTTAGCTAGATAATTTTTGATTATTATTAAGTATTGTATAMTTTTAATTATATTATATATTGATTTTAGTTTATTTATTAAAAATTAAAAATTGTAAATTCTATGTAAACATATAATCAAAATTTGTAAATTATGACATTGTAAAAATACTCGGTGTATTGACACAATAAAATTAATAAATAAAAAAAAAAATTATTTATATCAATCAAATACTTAATCAATATTAGTTTCTAAACTATGAATAACATAAAAGAAGTTCTGAAATCTTAAATACACTATGACCGTTCACTATCTAAATACTTTGAAGAAATCGCTGAATTTTAAAATTTTCCTAAAAATTCTTGTTCATATATTATCTGCATTCTTCTGTTAATCGGTTGTATAGTTATTAAAAATTTAAAACAAACCATAAGTATTGGCTGATTTATTGTAAAATATGCTCTAAAGGTGCACGGAAAACTTTTACAAGAAATAAATAGTTATTAGTTATCTATTATTTTGAATTTAAAAAAAAAAAACGCTATCAAATAGATTTTATTAACAAAAAAAAAGTTAGACAATATTAATATCATCCCTCGAAACAATATATAGCTACTGACTTCATGATRTTATAACTGTTAGGTAAACAGGTATTTTCCCGTTTATTGAACTTCTGATAAAGTTGGATTTTGGGTTATATCTAGTACCCTTGGGGTGGCATTTATGAGGGCTATTTCGTGGTGCCACCTAGTTTAGACGTGCAAGCCTATGCGATTTAATTGCCGTTAACTTTGAGCATTGGGGATTCTCGAGGACGGCAGCCATTTCATTTATAGCCATGTTTTCAGGAGCTTGTTTTCTACGGTCCGTAAAAAATAAAAATAAAATAAAAAAACCGGGGTGATAATCTTCGCTAAATCGTATTGCACAAAAGAAAAAAAACTGTTATTTTTCTCCACTGTGTATATACRCGACGGAGTTGTATAAAAACCAAATCCAGTTTTTCGTACACATTGGACTTTCATTTTCCACCCCTAACAATCCATCCCTTCGTTATCATCCTCGGCAGCTTTGTTTTTCATTACGGACCAGCCGACCGACTTTAAGCGGATTTATTACCCGAAGCCAAGAATGGTGAGACACGGGCAGCGGTGGCGAAGAAGGGAGAAAAAAGGAAACAAGAAGTTTCGGATATCCGACTACGAGCACCCGTAATCTTATTAGCAGCTATATTTCGTAATCCAAAGAGAAAGAAACGACTATATGTATATAATAATCAGTATAAATATATGTATTATATGAATCGTGTACTCATATACAATACACACGAGAAAAGTTAATCATTCTAAAACGATCATTGATAATCTTAAATTGTAATTTACCGTAACCGTTTTAAATAACAACTTTATCGTAATTGTATTTATATSATATAAAAAAACATATTACATAGGTAATATAATRTATACATTGCCTTATTATAAAATCAAAGATAATATTGTTTTATACTCATTCGTTCATTGTACCATAAACATCACTTGGTACATAATGTTATTGATCTTTCTTGATTACAGTATATCAATTAAATAATTGGTTTTGACATTTTGGATAGTCTAACCAATTTGGATCTATAACACTATAGCTACACTTAATTATAAATATGTATAGTACAAACATATATTATTGTATTTAAATTTTAAATGCTTAATGACGTATATAAACTTAATTGCCTTGACTAAATTCAATATCTACAGAACTATAAAATTCATGAAGCACGAATAAAATATGACTTGACCTTATCTACTTTATATTAAAAGCTAAAAAAATCAATGTTATATAATATTAAATTTTTTAAAGGTCTGAATTATAATTAATATAATTCAAACCTTTAGTTGTGTACTTTTTTTAATACCTGTTGTATAGTGTTCAATAATAGTATAATAATACTAATAATTTCAGGAAAAATCGAATTTATCGCAGGGAGTTGAATACGTCAACTTATTGTGCCGTATAATACACTTGAATACTTAAAAAGAGACTGAATAATGATATTTATATAATAACACGCTGAGCACAAGTGTTTAATTTATAAAAATATTGTTCGATAATTCAAATAAGTGACAAACCCGACAAACCCGACAAACCCAACAAACAATGATGTAAACATGAGAATAATGGAAACAAAGAATACAGATTTACTGAGCACGTCATTTACATGATGAAAAACAATTTGATATGCATTGAAAAAGAATCCATCGAACAAGACTTGTATAGGTTTATAGAAAATAATTTACGCGTAAAATGATTGAAAAGGGAGTTTTTTCCAGCCGTAAATTACATAGGCCGTTGRAAAAAATGCGCGTAACATAAATGTCAATTTTATATATTTGAACAGTACGTAAAATTAAAAAAAAAAACAACAACACTAATGAGTCATCAATATAACAATGAGTTTCTGGAATTGAACTGTTATTTAAATTAAAACTATTGATCAATGTTATCTTTGAAATAAATATTTTATTCACAGATCGGAAATAAACGTTTCAATATTTGTTTTATTCATTATAATATACGACCGGAGTTTTTCTTTTATTACAGAAAATGACCACTAACTGATATTATTCTAAATGTTAATGACGAAAACTTACTGAATGAATCTTATGGACCGAATTAGGCTTTTGACTTAGTATGAAAGCAGTTAAAAGTTTTCARACCAGCAGCTGTATACAATTCGACTTCGCGATATTCCTCAAATACAATGGTTTTCGAGGGGATAGGTAATAATAAAGCAGCAGTTTAATTTTAAACTTTCTTTTTGTTCGATCCTATTTTTATTTGGTCTTATACAAGAAGTTTTCGAAAAAAATTTGTGCTACCAAATTACTTACAGACAACTTTGAAAAGAATAACTGTGCTCTTTGAATAATAAACTATAATAGTTGTTTCTATAAAAAAAAAAATAAAAATGTATTTACAGTGACTTACCGTGCATTCTGTGGTCCCACTGACTTGACTTCATATGAAGAGCTAGCTGTGATCCTATGATCTGGAATTTTGCTGAACTCCATACCAAGCTGTGAACGACATTCTTCTAAACAACAACCATGAAATAATATGAATTAATTAATGATACAAAAAAAAAAATAAAAATTCTTGTGTTTTACGTAGACTCTATAACACATCGATATATAACTGTCTTATCAACTAGACGGTATAAGAGTAAAGATTAAAGTTGACTTATAACTCTGACAAAATAAAGACAAATTATATACCCTGCTTTCCGCACACACATGATATTATATATACTCTAAACTTATACTCGATGAATGATCAATGGATGACCGTCCCTATCGTTACGATTATATTTTGATATTTTATTAACTTTTTGTAGTACATATGTATAAAGATTGTTTTTCTTCTCTACTACAATAAAAAAAAAGTTTATATTTAGTCACATCAGATATCATTATTGTTAATTACATTACTAACATAAACTAATGGTTTGAGGTACCCACTATTGTAATTCATGTTATTTTATATAATTGTCTGTTGTTTTTATTTTTTATAAATATACGAGAAATCGTTTTTAAATTATAAGCAACTATATTACGGTTCTATAAGTAGAAAACATAAAAAGAAAAAAAATACAATATTTTTAGTTTATTTTAAAATGGTGAAAGTATTTTTGGAGACAAGTTTAAAATAATATTTTTGCTCTCTAAGCTCAGAAACTTTTTATATTCGAATGTTATTACCACTTCAAAAGCATTGAAAATGGTCTTTCGTTTTCATTTTTTTTTCTTTTGGTGAACCTACACGCTACACGTAAAATTTTTTTTATTGCTCTACGATCACATTAAGGGGCCTAATATTCAAAATTATAAACTGTATAATGTGTTATTAAAATAGTGCATATTCTACGTTTAATTATTTCATAATCAGTTATGAAAACATTTTTATTTTACTTAAGTGTAAATTTAAGTATGCATTGTATAACATTATAATAAACATCTATTAGAATATAAAATATTACTTTAACTCGGTACAATAAATTGACCAGGTTTGAAGTGACAGTAACAATTATTTATARTTWAAAAAAAAATTTCAAATTGCGGACRATACCTATAATCAGTGTCGAGGATTAAAAATAAAAAAATAAAGAAAAGTTAAACGTAATTTCTTTTGATTTATTGTTTATAAAACCATGGTAGTATGTGACTTTTGAAACGGATGTAATTCTTCCCTCGGGTAACACATATACGAATAATGTTAGGCGAACCTCGCGTGTGTTTCGACTCAGTCCCTTCAAGTCCAATTTCTGGGAAACGTTTTGAAAAGAACCATTAAGACCGTTGACCTTTTAATCGTACCCCTTGAAACAAAAAGCTATTCCAAAACGTCGGTTGGGACAAACAAAGGGGTTGGGGTTCTTATCTTCCCGAACAGTCACACGTAAATGCAGAAAACTTTCCATAGGAACAAACACTGATAGTACCGATTTTAACGGTTCTACATACGCCACCGGTGAACTTAATATTCACCCGACGGCGGAATAATGTAATGCTACGCCACCCCCCCTCGGATAAATATTTCCACGTTGTGTATATTGATATGATTTCAAAGTTATGGGAAGAAAAAAAACATCGGCCAAAAAAGCTATGGATCTGTATTCACCGAACGTTTCCTTCCTTACTTCCTACCTAACTGACTCTATTTCAACTACTTTTCTTTTTTTTTTTGTCACTTTTCTCACTACAACCGGGATGCGGTTAGTTAGGCGATTATAACCAAATGTGCCAAAATGGCGAAAACCTCATTGCGGAATTTCATCGCACTTCATGCGTGTTTGAAGTTCAAAAGGATACATAATTTAAATTTGTTTTATTTTTCATTTGTTTTGGAAATCCTTGGAGAGAAATTGAGTTATGACAACTATACACATTCTTTGAACAGCCCTATTATACAGATACGGTTTCGAAATATAAAGATAAAAATRGATTTAATAACTATAAGTACCAAATAAATACATTTGCGTTTGAAGAAGTACTTCAAATAAGGTTTCTCTATAATATTAATGGCTATACAATTTGATAAARCAATACTCAAAAATATAATATATAAAAGTTGTTTGAGCATATCAATAATATCGAAAATAGTATCAATAAGTAGTAAGTTTATAATATTCAGTCAGATTATATACTAGTAAATACGTATATTGTAAATATTTCTTATATTTATTTAAACAACATTTTCAGGAYAAATAAAATAAAATTACCATGACTGGAAAGACGTATCAAGCAACATTTATTGTGCTTTCCTTGAACTAAATTATTTATTTGACTCAATTTCTATAACGTTTGCTCCTATAAATTCTAAAACGAATAATATAATGCCGTGCTTTATTCGAACATTAAATGATTAATCTTTGCAAAACACATTAATATACTAGGACGTTAAAAAACGAATATATTAATTATTTGTTTAAATAATAAATCGCATTTGAGCCTAATTCAATATAACACATGTGTTACGGCAAATTCTTGGCATGCCATTAAATATATCATACATAAATCTATTTATAAATCCAGAAATATGAGRGAAAATTTTATGAAGGAAAATTATTATATTAATTCTCGGAAAAATTGGTATTAGAATCGTCAAAACGAACAACCATTTTACTCTTAATTAATACATTTTAGTAATACGACGTAAGTTATCCATCAAAATAAGTGACAAGGAAGTATAACATTTAGTCATTTCTCTGGGGCATCAGCTGTTATAAGAGATAACATTCCACAATAGACGTCACTTTTGTGAGATTTCCTTATTTATATGTTTGATATATTTTGATATTCAAATTCATACGAGTTAATCATTTACATGTATTGGTGCACGTCAACAATTTGATCGGATTATATACACAACATAATATAGGTTCTTTATTAAATAAAATTAAATATTATGATAAGAATAATATATATTATATATATTATATATATTGATAATACTTGTAGAGAAATTAGTTTATTGGATTTATAATTTCTATATAAACGTATGCATCAAGCTATTAGGATTATAAAATATTAACGTTTAGTTACCTGACCCACTTACTTTATTATTATACTCTCCTACGATCTAATAAACATAATAGTGTTATTCGTTTATTGTATGCTAAAATTTTTATGATGAAAAGAACAACGTATAAAATTTAACACATCATTTTTTACTAAAGTAAAAATATATTCTTAATGTAAAATATTAAAAAATCGATGGCATTATATAATCTATACTTGTTGGTGCAAATTGCACGTATTATGGGATTTAAGAATAATAGTCATATTTTAAAAATTTTGAAATATAATTAAATAACATCTGTTAAGTGGCCATTATTTAGTGGGGACCATGGTAAAATCTTCCCAGAAAAACTGTAAGAGATGAGTTGACTGTTCTAAATTTATCAAAAGAATTAGATTTTAAATGACAAACTCCTTCGTTGCCAAATTAATCCTAACGAATAGTACCTAAGTTAAAGTTGTTTAATGATAAATGAAAAAATTGAACTTTCATTCTCAGAACTKATAAGGTACCCATAATAATTTTAACTTAGAATTTCTTTGGATAGATTTACCAGTTGTGAGCGAGTGGTGATGCCAACTAAATTKCAATAGCTCTCCGGTGGTTGCTGAGGTACGGTCAACTTACCAATTCAGGGAACGAACATACAATTACTTATAACTAATTAACTATAACTTACAATTAGCTTGTATAACTTTATGTAACGATAATTGCCTAATTCCTATGTTGATAGGAGGTGCTTACTATATTCACATACGAGTATTATACGCACATACACTCATGGTAAAATGAAATGAGATAATTTTCGATATGATGTTGCATAGAATATATTTTTTTAATGTTTAATGTTTTGAAAAATCGTTCCCACGACACATCATATTTAGCTAAGACAACAACGAAGRTACTTTTATGATACACCGTTAATGAAAACATTTACTTTAGATTCTATAGTGATGMGGTGCATAAATTATTAATTCCTGCTGTTGTAGTAAATAAATTATTATCCTTGCAGTAAGACGAGGAGTGGTTAAAATTAATTTAATTTCGTTCGCATAGACAAATAGACATAGGTATCGCGCGTATATATATATATATATTATAGGTATGTACAGAGCGAGGCGGTGGTTTAGCGGCTTGCGCCCCTTTTGTACGTTAACCCAATTTTCGAAATCAAGTAACTCTGCACGAGATGGGTAAGGTACTTAAGACCCGCCAACCATTGAATTCCGTCGGTACACTGCAGGGTCCGTCCCCGGGAGCGCCAAAAGCATAACTTGTTTCGCAAACACTCGTATCAACACGTATATCTATGATGTATACATGCACATATACATGCGAGTTTAGAGTATATGTATATACCCCGCATCGTCCAGAGCATATACCTACGCTTGTTACAGCTGCTGCAGCAGAGTGTGGCAWGATGTGGAGTTTATTCAATAGACGTCATAGACCCGCGAGCGTCCCACTGGGTCGACCAGAAGTCTTACACGGGACTGCAAAGCACAGGAGAATAAAAYTCGAGAATGCAAAACTTGACTACGTCGGTGGTGTGCATGTTTCGCTCACGAATTCGACGGGAAAATTTTAATGAATATGTATGAGCGCGAGCTGACCACGTCATCATGTTCCCCCGGGAGACTTGGGTGTGTGTTTGTGTATATAAGGARGTATAACGCGTAAGTCCCCTGTAGTCACATAAAAACTTTACACAATCAACAAAAGTAATCTCGACCTCTGGTCGAACCACATACATATACAATGTCATATAATATGTACACCGGTGGAAATCGGCAGGGCGAGGGTTTAACCGACAACACAAACGTCTTCCGCAAGGACTCCTTGAAAATAATTTTAATATTTTTCTCTCTAACCTAACCTAAACCTATATAGAAAAATTACTTGTAAAATATCCACTGTGAAAGTGTTAAATATTTTGTTCTAAATATTTAATCTATTATTTTTCGTGAACTGCAGCACAAACCATATGATTTTGTTTTAACCTTACGAAATACATAA